GTGATTAAGTATTCGTCGATTAAAGTCAATTAATTCAGTCTTGTGGTTTACACACATTAAACCTGCTTTCTGCCAATGGAGAAATTTATATCCTCTTCAAACAAGTAACGTTGACCTTACGGGTAATTTACGCAGACGATACTGTTCGTTCACCTAGAAATCTCTCACGTCTTCCTTCCTATGTATACCAAATCACTTGAAACTCCACATCTATACCTAACCCTTACACAGGAACTCTAAACATTTTGATCATTGTCCGTGAAACAACTAACTAGCCTTTCTTTCTTGAAGTCAAATGTGACATTATCTCCAATCAGCATGAATGGAGCCCACTGGGAGACTTTGGTAAAGCCGGTGTTCCTCAACCATTTCATGGCCTGGTGGAGACATTCACTTGCACTAAATCCGTCAACAAGGTGTCTGTAGAAACGGCTCATGAACTGCCATGTTGCTTCGTCCTCTATGGCCCACAGTGTCACCAGCACTGATCGTGCACCGGATGCCAAGAATGCTCGAGCGATTCCAAGAACTCCCTCGGCTTTGATCTCTCCACGCCCACTGTGGCAACAGCTGAGTACTACCAGTTTAGCTCGCAGTTGAACTTGTGAAATATCAGAGATCCTCAAGAGGTAGTCTTCTTCTTCTGGAATACTTTTAGCAGTAGGACGAGGGGAAAGGGCGATCTCTCCAGTATCAGCGTTACCATGTGCCGCAATATGAATCAGACTCACTGAGTTGATCGCTTGAAGTACCGCCTCTCTGGTCGCACACTCTCCTAACAAAGGCTGGACACCCAGTAGTCGTCCGATCATCTCTGCTTCCTTTCTTGCACCAGGTAAATCAACAAGGGTCGGGGTTTTTCCCTTGTAATGCACCTTTCCTGCCTTAGGATTACCCACAACTAGAGCACCAGTCTGACAATGGTAGTCCGCTGGGCAGTCCTGAATGAGCTTCAGAGTCGTCAAAGAAGGGACGATGCAGATTCTGAAAGTCTCCGATAAATACTTTCCGCCTGGCTGTTGACGTAGGGCTGCAAATGGAACTCGGTACAAGCTACGCTCCGGAACAATGATGATTTCTGGGTCGCTGATGATTTCTGGGTCGCTGAGTAAATCAGCTACTGGAGCAATGATCAGTTTGGAACAAAGATTAAGTCTTCTTTCAGTTTCTGGAGTTTCTTCGCCTCGCAGATTTGCTTCGCTTTCATCATCAGGTGATATCAGCATGGTTTCACTCAAAGAACGATCTTCGCATTTCTGTCTTGGTAAAATGCCAAAGCCACGAAGACCTTTGTTGAAAAAACTGTTCAAATCAAAGGCTTTCTCTGCAATAAGGGTTTTGTCATCGACCCATTGGGAACGTCGAAACAAAGTGTCTCCGTTTGGCTTCAGAACCCAAATATGAACTCTTCGTGCATAATACGAAACGTACAGGAAAGTAGAGTGACGTTCTTTGTTTGAAATCTTATCAGCCTTGGACCATGATCTTGGCTCCGCTGAGACGTGATTTTCGACGGAAAATTTGGCTGCCATCCGCTCCCCCAGGCATCGAGCGCGTCCCAGCTCTTCAATATATAGTGCATCTCGAGGATTTCCTGTCCTCAAACAAATTAGTTCACTGAGACGCTTGTAGAGATGCGTACCCTTTGCTTCTAAAAGAGATACTTGCAACTGCTCTTCTCCTTGTAGAGAATTTCGCAATTTCTCATATTTCTGAATAGATTTCTGGAGATACGAATGCGCTTCTTGAAACTTGGATTGCTGTGACTTCAAGTTTGAAAGCCTGAGCAGATTTAAAAGCTGCATCAAACCGTCTCCAATATTACAGTTCATAGTGCGGGATTTTTCGAAGTATTCTTCTGCCTTGCCGTATTCGCCAAGCCTTAGAAACATTGATCCGATATTTGTATAAAGATATGCTTCGCCTACTTTATCGCCCGTCTTAATACTGAGAGAAAGCGCTTTCTCGTAATATTCTTTGGCGCTCTGACGATCATTGAATGCAAGAAACACTTGTCCAAGTGCATCGTAAGCACGGACCTCTACTTGTTTGCAACCAATTTCTCTGGAGATGGCCATTGCTTTCTCTATATTTTCTTTAGCCTGTTTGTATTTTCCAAGCGAAGAAAACAGTGTTCCTAGGTTTCTATAGACTTCTGCTTCTCCTTTTCTATCACCAATTTCCTTCATGATGGAGAGTGCTTTCTCATGATATTCTTTAGCCTCACGATATTCACCAAGTAACCCTAACAAAGTTCCTTGGTTGTCGTAATCTACTCCTTCTCCTCTTCTGTCACCCATTTCGATCTTGATGGAGAGTGCTTTCTCACGATATTCTTTAGACTTCTTAAATTCGCAAAGTGACTGGAACAAATTTCCTAGGTTTCCATAAACTATTGCTTCTCCTTCCCGGTCACCAATTTCAGTCATGATGTCGAATGCTTTCTCATGATATTCTTTAGCCTTCTG